TACATGTTGTATCTCTCTCACACTTGCCTTACTCTTTGTGTGGAGGTAATGCTTTCACGGATTTGTCAGCTTCTAATATTTCATCTGGAATATGTTCAATATCTTCCAATTGCAATCATTTCTTTATCCTTTAAGTCACAATGGTGATCATAAGTACACCAAGCAAGGCCCCCTAAAATAGTATTTTTTAAAGCAATACATCGTTTTGAGTGGTAAAGGTGTGCTTGAATTTCTCAAAATTCTCTCTCCCTCCTATTGGCGCTCTTCTTCTTGAATATACTGCTCATAAAATTATACCTCTCTTTGTGGGTGATCTGGGCTGTCCGGGTGATGCAGCGTCGAAGGCTGTGTTGCTGACATTTTCGACCATCCCGTCGTGGTCTTCCTCAGGGCTGGTATGACCACGACCAGGAAGACCACAACAGGATGGTCAAAACGACGGCAACAGCCTTCGACGCGGCGTCACCCGGACAGCCCAGATCACTCACATGACTCTGGCCACGGAAGCCTACGACTTCATATACCTCCCTTTATCCACTTGTTTGTTAATTACCATAATTGCATACTTTTTATCACGTTAACCTCTTGCATTGATTATTATACATAAGACCTGTTTGTTTTGCAAATTAATAAATGTTTCACATTAACAGTAAAATAAATACTCCTAATACACACACAGACTATTAGAAGTTTATAATAAACTCTTAAGAAACAATATCTCGCAACAGTATTTTTACTGGAGATCAAAAACAATTTATTTACTCTTCCATACAATTTAAATATATACTTTACTACTACTATTACTACATTCTTACTTACAATTTTCAATGGGAAAAATTAAAAAAAAAATTAAAAGCTTTCCTTATTTTTCCTTGTTTAAGGGTGAATATCAATTTTACAAAGCAAGCTAATTTTCAATAAAATTGGAAAACAGAGTATTTCTTAAGTGTCAGTGTCATTCATACATTTCAATCTAGCTGCAATCTGGTTTAAACATTGATTGCATATAGTTAGTCATGCTTGGGTTAATCTCACATTTTCTTCCAATACCATTAAAGCAAATGTGAAGACAGGATTGTGTATTTCCCAATTCAATAAAAGTTGTTTTATACATTTCCCACTCATAATATTTTAGATCCCTAGAAGTTCTAAACTTATTTTATAAAGTTATCAAAAAATATTTGTACAGAAACCATTTACAACTGCCGATACTGTAGAAGACATTCAACAAGGGTTGAGTGAACACCTCTGATGATGATGAAGAGCCTTCAGACACTTCTTAATGAAGTCATCAATGTCCTTGAAACAATCAAATGCGTTATGAGATGCGCATTGTTTCAAATCAAATTTTGACACAATTGTCCTGATTTGAAAGCAAAGTTTAAAAAGAAGCTGTGAGATAAACTATAAAAGATTACATTCTTTATTTACTTACTACAGTAAAACACCCTTTTTACATTTTTCAGGGAACCGATGAAAAAGAGTGTGAAACGAAGGAAAGTGAAATGCAGGAAAGTTGAAAAATGTTAGGCTAGATGAGTACTTTCATTATTTACTGCACTGGTAGCTGTTTTTACTTTCTCACCCTTTGTAAGAAGAGAAAGTAAAATCGTGAGCCGGAAAAGGCAAATTTCGTCAGAAAATCTATTGATGGGCCCTGGTAATGAAAAAGTGGATAAATTATACTCCTATATATAGTAAATTACTTCCTCTAACACATGGTATACCTTGAATCCCCGTTTTATGGGTCCTTGAAACTACAAAATTGATTGATGGCACAACGTCTGTTAGTCCGGCTGTGGTCAATGCTAGTACCTAAACTGTCAACCAATTTTCTCCAAAATTGATATATCCTGATTGATCTGAATTAACTCGAGGCTTTTGCGAGTTCATTAGATACATACATAGTAATTTACCACATATTAGAACAGGATTTATTCACTTTTTTTTGTATTAGTACGAGTTTTTGTCAAAAAATCGCTGTTTTTGCCGTGTAACACAACTTTCTCTGCATTAGATACAATGCGTACATATACAAGAAAGTGAAAAAGAAAAAGGCAGGAAAACGTAAAATGCAGGAATGTAAAAACAGGGTTTTACTGTATTTCCCTATGTACATTATGTTGAACTGGTAACAGTAAAGTCTACATTCAGCATGTTAATATAGGTTGTTTTAAGAATTATGTTTTTTGGCTGTGTAAAAATGTATTATAGAAATTGGTGTAAAATTGTATATTTTTATTTTTAATGTGCATATTCAAATTATGCCCTTTTCTGGTTATGCTTTTTAAAATTATTTAGCGCACTGAAAAGAAAGTTAACATATTGTTCTTCTAAAATTATTCTTGCAATAAAATAACAACATATTGCAATTGAAGCACCTGATTTTCAAAATAATTACACAATTATTGAACAGGGGGAAAAAAACAATATAGATATATTGTATACAAAAGATGTCCCAGGAGGAAACCGCAAAACTTAAATTTAGCCCATTATGTTTGGTTTATTAATTTTAATACCGTCATCTATGATTTGGAGTGGCTAAGCCATCATAAGTAATCCAAAGTTCACTGGTAAGAATATAATAAATCATTTCACTACAAAATATGTATTTCAGTAATACAGGAAATGCTTATTACCAAATTTTAAAAAAATAAAATGAGAAGTATTTGAACAGAAAAAAGATGTTGCACCCATAGATTGTCATATACATAAATGCATATGACAATCTATGGGTGCTGATAGCTCAACTTAATTTACACTGCCCAGCAAATCTATGTGCACACCATTTATACTCAATTTTTGCTTTGATCATGGCATTTTGCCATTTGCAGACTATTATGGTAGTTCCTACACTAGTGCAGTATTTGAAATCACCTTGATTTAATTTGTTGCCATTTAAGTTGTAATAAACAGCTTTGGAATACATGAATGATCATGTACTCTGTATAACACATGTCAGATTATTTTCGAAGTCATTACGTAAAAGGCAATTACTATGAATGAGAACTAAAGTTTGCTTTATTAATTAATTTGTAAAAATTTTCATTGAAATAAACTTGATAAACTTCTTTATCAGCTCAATTTCATGTGTTGTTTATATTTAGATATGTTCTGAACTATTACTGTAATAATGAAAGATGATATGGAATACAAAGACGATTATTTCATTTAAAACAATTGTGCTAGTTCATTTAAAACAATCTTGCCTCTGTGTTTATAGGTTAACAAGATATGCAACTTCAAATATATTCAAAACTTTATGACCTTCATTTAAAGAATGGTGGAGGAAGGGTAAGACCTGAACTGTGGAGAATGGAACTTCTCAAACTATGTCCTTCATTAGCTCTGCAGTCTGCAACATGGGCTGGAGGATTCAGCATTATCTTCCCTGACACGATATACATCATTGCAAATCTTCAAACTTCTGCTGCAGTCATAAATGTACCAAAAACAACTTTTCCTCCTCTTCCTCACTTTAGCCTGGTGTGAAACACATTAACAAATCTGTTTCATGCAGCTGCTTCAACTATTTTAACCAATGTTTCACAATGAAGAAATGGTCACTGGCCTTTTTGCACCAGCTACCACATTCCCTACTGAATACAAAAATTGGCAATGAAAATCACACCTGCCTATTCTTAGGCATGCAAGTTAGTAGCATTTTCAGGCAAAATACATGCCAGAGCAGTAGAAAACAGACTAGTAGGGAGAATAAGTAATGACAGCATGGAATTTCTGCTCTTCACAAAACAAACAACACTATTCAGATTATTATAAATCTGATGGATTAGTATCATAACTTTTTTAGTTGTGATGAATGAATACAGCTTTTAGAGGGAGAAACGATTATAAGTTTATTTATGTAGAACAACTTGAAAGAAAAAAAGCGTGTGTTTTGCGGTTTCCTCTCTGATCACTAAATGATTTACCAGGTATAAAATGCAAGTTATCAATGAAAATTATAGAATGTACAATGATTATCTTCATCTGATGCTAGAGCCTGTGAACTCAAAAGATAAAATTAAAACAATTATTTTTTACTGGTCGACATTCTTACCTATGCTTGACTGTGAAGATGATAAAGATGGTCCTGCAGGTGCTGCTGTTACAGCACTACTAGTTGCTAGTCCTCCCACGGACACTGTACCAGGCATAATTCTTGATGGCAGAGGTACTTCTTCCATCATGCAAACAATACTACTACCACAACTGGGGCAGAGAATAGTGCTTCCTGAAAGAAACATGTCAATTATGAAGGTAAGTACAAAGAGGTTTGACAGAGAATAACAAATCTTTTATTTAGTTTCTCAGAGATAGGATTGAGATCCTCTTTTCCACCCATCCATACAAGTTTCAACTTGTTGAAACGATGTCAATTGTTTCATATGAATGTTTTGTGTGTTGTTTCCAGTCTTTTTAAGAAATTTTGATATCATAATATCAATGTCATTTGGTCACCTTACACTACATTATCCAACGATCAATTGGAAAAAGTACAACTTAAATTTCTATGCCACCTATCAGAAAAATGGGATACCAATCCATTAATTTGATTATGGCCTTACCAAATTCTACATTTTATTTAAATTGGATACTCTTGAAGATAAGATAAAATTTTCTATGATTTAATTCTCTTCCATTAAATACTACATGGTCTCATTGATTGCCCTGAGCTTCTTTTTCTTATATCTCTTCAGATTCCTCAGAGGAGAAAGAGAAATACTACCTGTTTCCGGATGAAGGCATCTTCAACGAACTTCAGCTATTATGATATCTTTAAAAGACTGCCTAGAACCACTAATTACTACGCTGATAGGATTGATCTTTTCATCATGACTTAAAATTTTTTTAGTAGTCGTAAACTTTCTGATCCGAAGTGTATAGACCACCTTTAATGCTATGGTTTAAATTAATTCAATGACAGTATTTACTACTTTTATATGTAATTCTCTGATACGCTGTGAGGTAGTTATTTGTGTTGCTGTACATTTTATTTTTTTAAGTAAATAGATTTTTATATTTTTATTATATGCATTATTGCCCTGTAACCTGTGCGACATGTTTACTTTAATTACCTGTATTTCTAAGATTATGTTCAGTTAATAAACAGGACATAATACTTAACACGATGAAATAATATGAATATTGAGAAACTGAAATTTTTTATGAACACATGGTCTTTATTGAACAAAAACATAGATATAGACAAAAAAATTCGTAAAGAATAGGACAGATACTTGTAAAAACTAGGATTCTCACAAAACCTTGAATTTTCTTCAAACAAACATGGATTTACATTAATAACTAAATTTACATCAATAAAATTGGAGCATCTGAGATTTCAAAATAACTGTCTTTTTATAGTGTACGTAATACCTTGTGACATTTTACCATTCGCTGAAGATTCGGGTCGTGTTGCCCGGGGAGGTGAGAAAGAAGATGCTGAAATTGACTCGAATGCATTTTTGGCACCTCCGGAACATATTCTGATTTACCCTTATCTATCTAGGAAGCCATAATCCATGATTATTTGATTGTCTCTATAAATAGCATTTACAAAATTCATGGATAGAACAACAGTGCCAAATGTTGCCCAATCCTGATGAAAGTAACCATAGAGCCTTCCTTCTGGAGTCAATTCGAAGAATAATGTCAATGTCTGATTTATATAAATATTAGCACTAATAGTGGCGTTGAAAAAAATAGACCCTATAATTCTTATAGAACTCAAACGCACACCACACTCCAATCTTTATATCGTGAAATGTTTTTTCGTGAAGCAGGGGAGGGTTTTTTGCACTCCAATAGCAGTTGTTTTGGCTGTTCACGTATCCACTCAGATGAAACCATGCTTCATAAAAGAAAAAGAATCAGGATGCGTTCCGGAGGTGGCAAGAATGCATTCAAGCAAAATACATCACTTTTGGCATCTTCGGCAAAAATATGTGAAGCACAGCGATAGTTCCTGTGTGTCAGCTTGGGAGACAGTGCTTCTCTGACCGATGCTGGGCTTCGCTGGGGCTGAATCTTTGGCGAACGATAAAATCTACACTGGTATGATTCTAGAAGTTATAAAAATCCACAAGCAGATACGCATGAACATAGCATCTAATGGTAAATAGTAATCCGAAAAAAATGGAATGTTTTAAAGGAAAGGGAGGGAGAGAATTGTATCAGAGCTCTAAAGATTTTGATTTGGGTTGATTGGATCTCAATGTTATTATAAAGCAGACATTACTTGAGCCATTGCTTGTGATTTTCTGCCTAAGGATAACCCAGAAAACAACATAAACTGAACTATTTAAAATATTGAAAGCATCCAATTTGCTTCAAGATAACGAATCTTTGGAAATGGATTCCATTGGCAAATCATAACAAGCAACATACAGGCCTCCCCCCCCCACACACACAAACCCACCCATCCACCTGCCCCACCCACACACACTCCACTCCCCCATCCACCCAAAAAAAAGAGGAGCTCATAGAAGTAATGAATGGTAATTTAGGTTAGAAATAATCAACTCTACCAGCCTAGAAAACACATAACCTATTATACGATACTCAAAAAGATGATGAAAAAATACTTGTAACAGTTTACATGAAACTCTTCACCCAAAACAAAAATATCTACATGATGTGCATATTGTACTTTAAATTTTTGGACACTTTTAACAAAAATATTTTAATGATCTCAGCAATGAATATCACACAAACTCATTTAGACTACTGGTTCATACAAAGAATCCCAATCATAAATAGTATAGGCAATGGTAAAAAATTGTTTTATTAATATAGAGCACAAAATATTTTTTTTAAATACTTATTTATATTATTTCAATTATCATATTTACAAACTCACCTCTGCTAGCATGTTGAACATCTTCTTCGTGAGAAAATTGTGAAGAACATTTCATACAACGATATGCAACCTGATTCATATCTGATAGTGTTCGTGATGCCAACACATCACCCAATACATGCACCAACTCCTGGAAAAACACAATACATTGTAATAATTTCTTTAAAATAATAATACTTCAAACTCAAAGGGAAGGAAACAGGATTGTATCAGCTCTAAAGATTTTGATTTGGGTCTCCACATTATCATGAAGCAGTCAATGAGTTTCTGTCAAATAGAAGATTTAAGTAAAAATTGACAATCTTTTCTCAAAACCATAGAATGTCACAAGCAGAATCCCTCTAGAATCTGCCCTTAGATCAAATTATATTTTTTACACACATGATTGATCTGGACCAGAGGTTTAAATTCCAGCAGGGTACCTTCACAGATGACAAAAACTGTTTGGAAATCCTCTAGCACATAATTTACAAAACGATGCTGATAGCCTAATGATCAAACCAACTGTCATTACCACAACACAGAAATACATGTAGTCTTACTTGGTGTATTTTAATACTCAGTATCACACAGGAGAAAATACTGAAAAGTATGATATCACACAGTTACAATAAAGTATTCTAATTAAAAAGTCGTTTGTAAACATCACCTCTAAAGCATTATCAAAACTGCACACTAAATACCCGAGACCTCACAGTTACGTAGACTATGGATCAACTATGGTTATTTTACTTTGCAGATATTCTCAAAAAAGAAAGAAAGAGCAACCAAATGCATTCCAAAAGCACGCTACCATATCAAGAAAACAGAAACTATGAAATGCTTTTGAGTGTGTTAAATTTAACTATTAGCTAACATAGGGAGTGAGGAGACATGATCAAGCAACATATTAACAAACTACTATTTAATCCGAAAGTAACAATATACTATGTTTCACAGAAATCTCTATATCCTTCTGATAGAAAATAACTTAAAATTATCTACTGACAATTTCAACAAAACTTCTAGGAATTATTTTCTGTCAAATCAACTGACAGAAATGGGTAACAACTGATGAATGGAATTCACTTTCTCAAGTCGTGCATTGGGGCTGGCTTCATTAGCCAAATTGCTTAACTATGCTCCATGAAATCACAGAAGTTAAGCAATTCAAGACACCATGAATTCCTAGGTGGGTGACCATTTGGGCCTGGGACTTGACAAAAAATCTTAACTGAGGATTACTCTGAGGATTGCTCAATGCTCAACAAGGGTTTAGAGATGCAATGTGTCAACAATGATGCAACAAATTTTAAAAAAAGGTCATTATCAACTTCCACAATGAAATAACGTAAGATGATAATTAGGGGGCAAGTTAGAGGTAAGTGTTTGCTGATGAATACCGTTATCCTTTGGTTACATCAGGATCTTTCTAAGAGTGAACAAAGATGAGAAACTAATATGACAACTTACTAAATTCTACAACATATAAAATTATGGTTTGTTAACTGACATTTATTTTATGTAATTTTTAAATTTAAATAATTATAGTAACTACAATTTGTAACTGGTCAAAATCAATTTTATTTTCTGGTTCAGTAAATAATACCTAGAGATCCCAAATTCCAGATTGCTCTGAAAGTTATGAGAATAATTGGGTTACAGTGATGTTTCACTTCCAGAAAAATTCAGTATGTAAAAGGATGCAATGAAATAATAATAACAATAGCATTGATGTGGAAGATAAAAATTTGGAAATTGCACAAATGATACATTAAATGCTAATTTACTAACTAGAATATCATAGCTAACTGATTATACAGATCATGCCAGCAAAGTATAGAGATTATGATTTATAATACCAGACAGAAGCAAGCAAGTTACAAGAAGATGTAAAAGAAGTTGACTTGACAATAAATGTGGAAGAGTTCAAAATCATTAAGCATAACACAGCTTTCAGGAGAGGTGAAAAATGAGCAGAAAACTTATGGTAGAGAGGTCATGGGAGCTTCTCTTATTTACGGAAGTTAATGAAACTTGGAATAATAGTGAAGAGATAGAAACAAACAAGGATATCAAGGTTAATAAACCATTTTATTCCCCACGGAAGATAAGACAGAAAACTATCAAATAACAAAATGAATTTATATTGTTCAACTAATCAGCCCATATGATAGTGATTTAAAACCTGGGACATGGCAGCTAGGATAAACAAAGTGTATTCAAGATATAATTTAAAAAATATCCAGAGACACACAGAGAATTTTACAGGGGAATACAATTTACTACTGAACTGTATGAAATATTCAGCAGTAATTAAGATTCAGTCAAAGTCATTGCCAACAGAAGGCTACATTATGCATATAAAGAACTGCAGATAAACAAAGTAGTTTTTGTAGCAGGCACCGCAAGAGAAAACAACACTTAACAAGTGTAGGAAGAGAGTAGAAGATGCTGTGGAGTGCAATAACTGCATGGATGGTGCAAACAGACAGTAGGCAACATACACAAAACCATTGAGGAAGTCAAAGTTCAAGGCAAGATGATGATGTACTCTCAAAGAACAACTCCCATTTAGTATGTATGTTAGCAGACATTTGACAGCTAGGAGAGCAGAAACTAGTTTTTATATGGCATATCAACTGTTACTATTAAAAGTAGTAAAACAGTATTGTTCTTGCCTCTCATATAGTGTTATAGATTCCACTTTCCTGCAGAACAGAAAAGAGGTTTGAGAGCATGGACTTGTCATTGCTGACACCTCCCAAAGAGAAACTTTCTACAGTGTGGTGCCAACACACTTTCTACATTCTTCGTATTAATGAAGATGCTAAAAACAACAATGTTGAAACTAATTATGAGAATTTTTGTGAAACATTTAAGTGTCTTTTAAATACTCGCTCACCACATATCAAGAATAGAATAAATTTAAATAAACCTTGGATTAATCATGAGATCATAAAACAAAGCAGAATCAGACATCCAGCATGGGCAAAATTATAGAAGAACCGGAACAGATGAAAGTTACACCATCTATAGTAACATCTCAAACAGTCTCACCTCTAATGTGAGACAGTGGTAACAAAAACACAATGAGCAAATTGTTCATGATGGTAGCAACAGATTCTTCTCCTACATACGAAGACTAACTAACTGTAAAACTGGTCCTCCTATGATTGTTCTCAATGGAGAAATGTGATAAAAGATCCAAATGAAATTGCGGAATGCTTTTCAAATGATTTCAGAAAAGTACATACTGTAAAACCAGAGGGCTCATTGCTGATTATTGAAGAGAAATGAACCAGAATTAATGAAAATATTGAATTTTCAAACATCAAAACTGCCCAGATAATGTGCAGACTGAATGCAAGCTCATCCACTGGTCCTGATTGTATTACAACCATCAGGTATCTGAAAAATTGTAAACTACAACTAGCCCCTTTACTGAACAGAACAATCATTAGTATCAGAGAAGTTGTCCTCTGCATGGAAAAAGCTGTCATCACACCAGTTTTCAAGAAAGGAGACAAAAAGTTACCAGAAAACTACAGACCAATAAGTTTGTCTAGCACAGGGAGTAAAGTTATGGAAAGGAGAGTTATTCCACATAAATGTCTCATTCACAAACTCTCATCTTTGGGTATACGAAGTAAGCTATTGAGGTGGATTCTGCAAATTTATAGGGCAGAAAATTTGAGGCGGCGATTGGAAACACACTGTCGATACCTCATGCCATTGCAAGTGGTGTCCTTAATGGCTCAGCTCTAGGCCCAACACTTTTCATTCTACACACTTGTGATCTAGGTGATATTCTGTCTTCAAGTTGGAACTGTTATGCAGATGACAACAAACTTTTCTCAAATCCACTAAAAAACAACCAGATGTTACGAAATGACCTCAACAAAGAGGTGAGATGGTCAGAATCTTGGTTGCTGCCTTTAAACTCCAATAAATGTATGGTCCTCCATCTAGGAAAAAATAACCCAAATCTTAATTATTGCATTGAAAGTCACATCCTCAGTTCTACGATAGAACAAAATAATCTTGGTGTTCTTATCACTCAAAATTTGAAATGGGATAGCCAAGTTGCTGCTGTTACCAAAAGAGCCAATAAGCTATTATACCTGATCAGAAAGGCATTCTCTACATTGCGGCCATCTACAGTAAAACTGATGTATACAATGTATATTAGACTTCAACTAGAGTATGCTAATGTGGTTTGGTTCCCTTATCAAAAAGATAAAAAACATTGAAAATGGCAGATTACTAAGATACCTAGAGAACTACGTCAATTAGATTACAAAGGAAGATGCAGAGAAATATCACAGAGAAGCAAGAGGAGTGATATTATAGACATTTTTAAAATCTTGAATGGATATTATAACGTTCCTGAATTTAACAATTTCTTTACTAAAACCATGGAATCTAGACTTAAGAGGTCATACGATGAAACTAATGAAAGAAAGGACAAGGACAGAACTGTTCTCATTTTATTGTAAACCGAGTAGTAAATCCATGGAATTCACTTCCTGCACACTGTACAGTCTGGATACTCAAAATTTTGTGATCAATTACATGATGATATGTTTGTATATGTGTGTGTATATATGAGTGTGTGATTTATTACATAACTTTATTACACCGTTTGTAAGATATGTGTACAACAGCTTGTTGCTGCCATAATAATAAAAAAGGGAAATGATAATCCTTCAAGGCCACTTGAAAAATCCAATTCACATTTTTTCCATCTCCTCTTATAATTGCAAAACCTGCAGTGTTGTGAGGAACTGGAGATGTTCTCATAGTGAGAATCTACTGTTCTAATATATGTCTTCTTGAAACAAGTTGAGATTTCCATTCACCAGCAAACCTGGGACATTTCGAGGGGGAGGTCTTCCTCCAATTTAAATGGACCTTTTCACCATACCACTCTAGGAGTATGACAAGAAACACAAGAAACATAAGCTCTCCAAGACATTGTTTTGCTTTCATGTAGGGCCTTTCTAACCCTGACTCCACACTTCTTGTATTAAATTAAATTTTCTATTGTACAGAATCTATTGTTCCTTGTCGAAGCTCAGAACTGGTCACAGACTACAGTGGCACAGTTATCATTCCACCAGGATACAGGAGAACATCGTTGTTCTTGGTATGGCAGTGTTTGTGGCATCGAGAACAGCTTCAGTGACGAGGGAAACCATAGAAATAATGTTGTAGGGACACTGGTCGAATATGTGCAGTTCTTTTCCAAATTTGTCCCAATCAACATGCTGGACTGACACTGGGCAACATCAATATTGGGCATATCTAGGTGGATGAGAATTGGAAAGTGGGCTCTTCCATGGAGGTCTTCGTGGACAATCCATTCTACAATCTTGGATAATGATGGACTGCAGAAAGCCAGGTCTATATGGGAAAAAGTGATCAGCACCAAGGAGAAATTAGTGGCAAGGCTAGTGTGTAGAAGAATCAAGTTGAATCTGTCTATAATGCTTTCGAGAAGGATACCTTGCTGCACCCCAAACTGGACTATGCACATTACAATCTCCAAGAATAGGAAAAGTTGAGAGCAGTAGAGAGTTGAGGGTCACAAGATATTCTTTTGACACACTTGACCTGGTGGGATATAGATGTTGCAAATGGTTATCAATACAGTATGGAAATTTACACAAATGCAAGATGCCTGAAGACTTGTTTCATGTCTATTTTTTCAGACACCAGGGAGTCTGTGACAAATGTAGCCATTCTGCCATGGGCATAGACGCCATCATCGTCTTGCCTGTAAGAACAAAAGCCAGGACAGAAGAGGGAATGCTCAGGGCATGTGTTTCCTGCAGACAGATGACAACAGGTTAAACTTTAATTCATCTAAATCAGTAAGAAAGAAATTAAGATTCTGCAAGAGAAGAGCCACATTTTTTAGGTGTAAGTGTTTCTTCTTCTAGAGGGATTCGATGTTGGGTTTCTTTTTCTTCTTTTTCCTCTTTTGTTGAAATGTGATGCTCCTAAGGGGCTACTTGTCCACTGCAGAGTGGTCTTGACTGCTGCTAAAAAGAGTTGAATGTTGGGGAATTTTCATGATTTTTTAATGCAGGCAACCGGGATCAAGAAATACATCCTTTCAGGCGGGATATCCCAGGTTCATACCCTTGTGTGTTTTTTGAAAAACTTAAAGTTTTCTTTTCCTTGTTTCAGATGGTACAGAGCATTTGATGTCTACTTGGTGAATGACTCTGTTTCAGTATTTCTCTTTATTTTTTTAATATGGGCCCTTGTTTGAGTTTGATGGATGGTCTTCTGTGCAGTTGACACATTTCAGGCCAGTTTTGCATTCAGAGTTGATGCATTCCTTAGGGCAAACCACACAAACAGCATTACCAATACAACATTGCTGGGTATGACCGAATCCTGACACTTGAAGCAGCACAGAGGGATTGGCACAGACTGATTGTAGAAACTATATGAAATCGTCAATTTCTTCATTTGACTGACTCTCGAAAATAAATTCTAAACCTTTTCTAATGTGCTCTAAATTGTTCAATTTTCTTGAACATGTAACTATTCAACATAAAAATGGCATATGTAAAGTACAAGATGAATAAAATGTCACTTCTAATTTAAAAGCATTTTCAATTAAATTTGTAATTTGGACTGAAATTTTCCACAAGAATAAATTAATAAAAACGAGTGTCTTAATTTCTTCAAAAGTTCCCAATCCATAAAATTGAAATATTTCGACATGAAAATGATTGCTTCAGGTCTATTAAACAACTGAGTTTCAATAAAAGATTCAGTCTCTTGTTATTTCTTTTAACATTATTATCAGTTTTGAAATTAGGATATTTTCCTCCCAATGAATATAAAATTTATTTAATGCCAACCTTTGCTTCCGATGGTTCAGCAAGATACATGCGACTTCGGCGATCACGGCGCATGACATTAAAAGTGAGTCGCACAGTAGACTGACTGTCAGAGAGAAGCTCACAGCTTTGCAGTGAAGCAAGACTCCATTTCTGAAGCACACGACCACTCTTCACATCTCTTTCTTGAAGATTGGAAGCACTTACTGCGAGCAAGAGTAACTGAGAGGAAGCATTTGTATTTCGCACTGTGAATAGTTTGCTTTCATCCACATCTGTAACAAACATATTTCTTTTAAGAAATTAAATGCCATATATTACCAAGTCTACGTATATCATTTTCCAAACAATTTGATTAAACCCAAGTACTTGTAAAATAAAATTATCAATTCCTACACCTCAGTATTTAAACATTTTTCATACTCCAGTGTTTCAAATTTTGAATGATGCTTTTCAAGTACCAGACTTTTTGTGTGTATAAATTATTTTGTGGATTTCATTTTACTTTCCCAGTCAACCTTGACTGAGAAATAATTATTTCCCTTGAGTGGGAACTTTACTACAATTATTTCCCTTGACTGGGAAATAATTATTGATGTGAACAAATTTTTATATCCCTAAATAAATATTAATCTTCTTTGCTATTTTTATTAATAATATTCTTGAACCCTTGAACTCTCGACATATTACAAATGGTAAGAGGGTTGATTTTACATTTCTTCCTCATTCCTGATTTAGTAAGATCTTACATTAGAATTTCTGCAAAGAAACAGTAATATTGGGTGGGTTTGATACTGTGTGTGTATATTCACAATATTCTCTCTTAAAAAAATTTAATTCCATTTCAAATAATTCATACTAAACAAATGTCAAGATATGAACATTGTTATCAGTAAAACTGCAATGTTTACATTTTCATTCATATTATTAGATTCATAGATCATTTTTCCCATCAGTAAAAAGTAAGATATTGAAGTAGCAAATAACAATAGTCTTAATTGGGAAAACATAGTGTGGTTAGGTTCATCAAGCACTTTGCATTGAATAACGTTTCTTTATTTCAAATTTTCCTCAATTAATTATTGTTATTCGTCAGCATACTAGTTTTTAAAAAGTTTTCTTTGAAACTTATTTTAATGGTACAGATTGAAATAATTCCAAAATCCAAACATTCAGATTTAAACAATTTCAAATAAACACCTACTCTTCAAGTCGGCAGTTTAAATATCAGTTGACAATTCACAATCAAGGATTTTAGATTTAATCATTGAAAGATAGATTCAAAACCATTATTATATCTTCTTAACTATATGCACAGAAAGTTACATTTCAGACTGATTTTACTAATATACAATATTGGATATTAACAATGTTTATTTGGACAATAACCAGGACAACAAACTGTGATGCAGACAACTAAATTCAACAATCATTCTTCCAAACTTTGAAGAATAATTTATCAAAACATAAAAACACTATTTAAGGCCTAACTAATTTACAATTTGTTTTATAAAAAAAAAGAAACAAATGTTTCAATACCTTCTTCTTCACTCTGAGAGTAATTAATCTGATCTTGTTCTGATTCTCCTTGCTCCCATTCCTCTGAGCTGTCAAGTTTCTGGTGCTGTTCATCCACAGCCAAATTATCAGAATCAATGTTTGACAGCTCATTTTTAATTTCATTACGTAACTGTGATGTCAAGGAGTTTTGCAAATCCTCTTGTGATGTTGAAGTATTTTCACTTTGAATAGGAATCTAAAACAAATATTAAAAGAAAATTAAGAGAAAAGTTATTCACCATCTTGCCTGCACCATCTTTAATGAGACAACACATTTATGAAAAATTAATTTTTGCAGATGGTAAAGTCAAATATAAATTCCCTAAAACCATACAATGTTTTTAATTCTCCACTAACTTTGTGTGGTGCATCAAACTCTTTAAATACATCTACAACAATTTGGTTATATTGTTTTTATTTCAAGTTCATAATAAAAATAATTATAGCAGTTGACTAGCTCACTTTGAGCACAATATAGAAAAAGAATTGATTAAGGTTTAAAATGAAACAATAAAAAGATTATGAACATTTCTAGGGTTGCACCTCTTTGACTTGGTGGTTCAGGTCACAATCATATATCCACCATATAATTCGGTATTGAGGAGCATGAAAAATATTTTCTTTCATAGTATTTATTCTTTTGTGATACCTTGAATTATAGCAGTGGTGGCTTGTGTGTGTTTCTTAGAAGGAGAAAAGAAGCCAATTGTATGAAGTACTTATTCTATGTTACAGATATAACAAATTAGATTATACGTGTTGACTTGCAATTGATAAGAGAAAAATATCTATGGTTCATTTGTCCAGTAGCTTCAGTCAGTCCAAATTGTAAGAGTACACCGCCCAGCTGCTCAGTCCACGACTGACCCTCTAGTCTGATTTTTGCCTTCCCAACTGTTACATGGCTCACCACCCACAGTGCAAAAAGAAGCGAGTAGATGCCTGTTCAAGGCAGAAGATTCTCCACATCTGCCATATAACTCCATTAAAAAACATTTGTTCTTCTCACAGTAGGGAACATTGAGAGATATGGGCAATTAACAGGTGAAAGTTCTTCCTCAGAGCGACTTTGATTTAATGCTTCTTTAGCATGAAGCCACTTTCATATAGCTTCAAATCACTTGTAGGTTACAAACTGAATCAAAATAAATTTCATTAGTATTTTCTAACTGAAAAATTGTATGTTTTCCCTCAAACATCAAAGCAATCTATTTATTTAGTAAATTTGTCCAGACAAAGAAGATAAGTAAGGAGAACATTTCTACCTCCTCTGATAAACTGCCACCCAATGAGAGTACATGAATCTGAATTTCTACTCAGAAAAAAGAATATAAATCTGGAAGGAATAGTGAGAATAACATGAATCTGAATTTCTTTATAAGAAGGACTATCTAAATCAAAGGAAATAAATTGTGATAAAACATTGCTGATTAATTTTCCTCAAAACTATCTTGTCCCATATTTCATTCAAATCTTTATTATATTAAATGAAGTATAACCCTACAATAGTCACTTGGGTTAGTATTGTAATCCAGTTTTATTCATCTGCTGCTAACAGTGAGAGTAGACAAACTTTTGGCATGAACTTTTCATTACCTTCCATGGAAGAACCCAGCTATTGCATAATTGTGAAATATAATCTAAGTGATAACTGCTCAGCCAGCGGTTATCTTCAGAAATTGATTGGATTACAACAGTAGTCCACGCAACCACTAGGTATTCAATTTCTTACCTAAGCAGCTGAGTGTGACTCTGTTGGCTTCTTGGGTTGTAAGGACTTCCGGTGTATTGTAAATGGTTTTCGAAGTGCAAGTGATTTATATTAAGCAGTAAGGAGGGTGTAAGGCTAATATGTCAGTGGTTAGAAGAGTAAGAAGAAGAATGTATTGGTTATTTTCAAGGCAAAGATGATAAACAAATTACTAGAATCAGTTCTAGTCAGTGACAGTGAATAGGAGGTGAGCACGGAAGGCGAAGAAATGCCTGGTGATACAGAGAGATGTTTTGTGGGCAAAGAGGGGTAGAAACTGGAATAAGTTAGCACTGCCAGTGAACACGCATACATATATGCATTACATTGTGTTTCACCCACTGTTTTCTAAATTTGATGCAAGAAATGAAAAGACTGCTTTTGAAAATGGATAGAAAAAGGATATTGAGAGGAAAAACTGTGCTGATAGCAATCAGAAAAGATGTGAGACTTCTACTGGGAATCTAAGAAGGACTGAAGGGTTGACAGAGTCCTCAAAGGACGGCGTGGGATGTGGTTATGACAATGAAACAAGAGCACTTGACAGTTCTGCATGAATTGTGAGCAGTGGATGTGCTCAGAACATATTCGAAAATCTGTGTGATCTTTTCATGGCATTGATATTGAAACCCATGTAAAATATTTCAGAAGAATCAGACAAAAATAGCACCAATCAATTGTGTCTCATTGACGGGCACTGAATGAGCCTTTTATAATCTCAGGTGCCTAACTCCATGCCCTTTAAGTTCTTGCAACCCTTGCAAAACTTAACCTAGAAGCCAAAGAAGCATATTCAAAAATATAGTTTTTACTAATTATCTAAATTAACAAAAGTAATTTACAATCATTTGAATATATAATAAAAAGTACAAAATTTCACTTTAAGAAGTCTCTTCGTGGTGGTTTTCTGGCAAGATTCTATGAAGAGTATCACCCCAGATGGCTGGACCAAGAGGAGAGAAAGGGGCTCTTAGATTGCACATGGTCTTTTCGCAGTGGTTGCTCTGCCACCTCCTCCCTTTTGTTCGCAAATAACAATGTTACAATGCGACTATGTCTTTTGTCTGAATCTGATATGTAACAACAACAACAAGGTGCTTGACGTGTAATATGATATGCAATGAAATATACAGAAATGTCAACAATACAAAAAAATAATTTGAAATAAATAGTAGTTTTTTTTTCTTCAGAGGTGGGGGTGGGGATGGAGGGTTAACGATTACTTAAATTTGTTGAATATGTTTGCCAGCATTTTGAAGGCCAGGAGTCACTCCTTTATTTCACTGTACTTACTTTATTGTCAACAAAAACTACTTTTAACGTTTCTTGGAATAAGGATCTTACATGCAAGGTTATTGATTCTTTCACTTCCTCTCTGATCTTTGTTGACATTTCCCTTCACTGCTCCTAAGAAAAAGTTATCAGGTGTAAGATCCGGAGATATTAGATACCCTTTTCAAAATTATGCAGAAACCAAAATATCTTACAATAAATCCATAGTAGATGAAGTGGGATGAACTGTGGAACTATCTTGCTGGAAATACACATTCATCATTTCCTCCTCTAATACATTTGCTCGTTATCCAGGACTTAATTCATGCACAGCCATACTTCATAACGAAACGGTTTCAGTTCTTTTCTTACAGGAATGTGTACCTACTGAGACAGCACTCTCTTGTTCTCATTGGTTTAGTGAGACTGTGATAATTTTCAGAGATTTAAAAAGTTGTTTGTTTTACTTATTTATTTATTGTCATATCAACTACAAGGCCATTAGTGAAATCTTAAAAAAAAATTGAATTTATTTAAATACAATAGTATTCACTTTCTTGAAAATTAGTTTTCTTTTATACATAGGTTTTATAGGTTTAATTTTATCATCATCATAATCAGCAGGATAGTAGGTCTGGTGCCTGTTCTTGTCAAGACAGTAGATTTGGTGATTATTCTTGCAGATGTTCCTGAGCAATCTATCTTTTGTTGGGTCTTCTTATATTTCTTCGCTCTATGGGTTTATAGTTTAAAACTGCTTTAGGAAATATTTCTGCTTGCATTCTTTGCACATGTGAAAGCCATCTCCTCTGGTTCTCTTTAATGTCATCCACTATATTTTACTCCTCTGGTTCTCTTTGTCATCCACTACATTTTTTCCTTTGTGTTTTTTCTAATTTCAGTGTTTCTTTGACAATGTAAATGTATCATTCCTACCAGGTGCCAGAAAAGTTTTATTTGATTGTCTTCTAACCTCCGAGTCTCTTTGTTTTAGGGTCCATATTTCTTATTCATACATTAACATTGGCTTAGATGTTATGTTGTGGTTCTTTGGTCGTTTTGTTTTCTGCTGTCATATCTCTTCTGAAGTTTTGCTTGATTATACCATTAACCCCATTATATTTTTGAACTGTTTCTTTCTTCTAAATTTGGTCTAATGATGTTTTTAGATGCATAAATTTTGCTAGTTCTATTATTTTTCTTTCTATAACAATTTTAACCCTTCATATCTTTGCCTTGGAATGCAATAGCTTTAATCTTATTTGTCAAAATTTTAGTGTCGTATGTTGGAGCTATGTTATGAAGTTCATTTGCTGCCCTCTGTTAGTCACCTTCTGATTTCATTGTTAGGACCATGTCATCTGCATAGATAATCATTTGGACTATTTGTCTTTTGTTTAAATTTAAACTGGTTTTCAGTTTTTGATCATGTGGTTTGCATGTATGTTAAACAGGCATGATGGTAGCCCACACCCCTGTCTCAGTTCTCTGATTGTTTTAAAAGTTTCTGTATTGCTTCCATCATTCATTCTTAATTTAATCTGAGAGTCTGTATTCAGACTGGATTCCTTTTATTATGTATGTAGGTATCTCTTCATCTTCCAGTATTTCCCACATTTTTTTTTTCAGTTCACCCTATCATAGGCTTTCTCTTACCTCACATCTATAACGAGCAGGAAAGTTGGAAGATTCACTTCATTTTTTCGTCTAGGACACTCTGTAGTGTGAAAATAGCATCTTTTGTACTTCTGTCCTTTCTACATCCATTTGTTCTTCTCCCAGGAAATTTTTGCTATATTAATTTAATCTACTTCTCTTAAGATATTAACAAAAAGTTTTGATACTGCAGCCAGGAGTGTGATCCCTCTATAGTTTCTGCAATCTGTTTATGATCCTTTCTTTTGCAAATTTATCACTACACCTATCTTCATTTAATTATTATAGTAGTATTGTAGTTGTAGTATACTTTTCTTCGCGATGTAATAATATATTGTGAATATATGTATAATTTTCATTTATATTTCATCAAAAATGTCAGTTTTTTTGCAAAATTCTACATTTTATTTTGAAATATGGTAGAGTTCATGATTGAAACAAGGTTTTTTTTAAGAAGGTATTTTTGCATTTGTTGTAAGAATTTGGGACATTCTTCTATTCTTATTAACACTACAGGTAGGACAGATGGAAGGTGTATTGTTAGTTAACAGGTGTAGGCGGCTTATGTTACAGTTACCTGTTCTTATTCTTGATATAACTACTTATTCTCATCTGTTTAGTTTATTATTAATTTTAAGGATACAGACATAATCAATTTTCTTGTGAAGAATATTGGCTTTTAGATTTCTCTGTATTGATGCATTTTACAAAAAACTAACTTATTGATGAGAGTCTTTAAGTCACCAACTGTATTAGATATTGTGACTGTCCATTTGAACATGTCACAATGATTACTAAAAAGATGCAATAAGATAACTAAAAACTGACATATTTAATAAAAATAGAAACCGTCAAAACGACAAAGGTAGAAGTACATGGTGTTTATTTCTAAAAAAATCCAAGAAACTATGCTGGTAGAAGAATAGACCTGGGAAGAATAAATAAATAAGCAAAGAACCGTTTAGGAAGAATACACAGTCACTTGAACTGTGGGTTATTATATAATAATAAAAATATTTTATTAAATGAATGAATGTTTCTATGTTTTGAAAAGACAAGTGAAGGATATAAGAAATGGGTGAATACACAAACATTTAGAAAATTATATACTAGGAATTTGTAAAAGGGGAAGGGTAATTAAATTTATTATTTAAAGTTTAATTAGAAAGTTTACAGTGAAGAAATTGTGGAAATCAAAAGACATCTAAAATTGGAATATAAAAATGTACAGTGTGTTTGACAGAAGATAAAAGCTGTCCTTTGTTTTAAAACTGTGCGGTGAGTAGGGACTTGTACAAAAATGCATATGGACAGACGGGTTGGCAAACTGGTAATGCTGACATCGTGGCAGAAATAAAATCTGGAGTTTTCTGTGTACGCCAGTGTTTCAATTTGGAGTTCGAAAAGAAAAGGATCTACTATAGGCATGCGATTCTCATTCAGTTGGTAGTGACATATAAACAGATTGCAACGCTCTGTCTGCAGATGTAAAGTCAACAAATAATACACACATGAAAATAAATTTAATTATGAACTTCAGAAAACAGACTCTACCTGTGTCTTAAAATGGCAGGCAAGAGTTTCAACAAGGGAGGGTGGTGATATCCGTGGCAGGCCCAGAACAGCCTGCAGGTGAGCTGCACCATGCTCAGACAGCCAGTGTTCCTCTCCAAATCGCTGCCTCAGCTGTTCTATATCACGTTTTACTTGTAAATGCTGTTGATCATCAGCTGTCAATGAAAATTCAAAGTTCAACTTTATTAACCAATATTTTAATATATAGAGATGTTAATGTAAATGTATTCTGCAACATGGGTCAAAGGACGATTAAAGGTTCTATTAGACCTGATTTATAAGCTTCCTTTCGATGAATGATGTCACAGATTTAACAAATGTGCTCATGTGCAGATTGATTTCTGAGACAGCAGTCATTCTGCACATGTACCTGTTTACTATAATTCTGAAATTGTTTGCCAGAAGGAAAAATTGAGTTTTATGGTAAGGCTTCTATATTATACTATTAGAATTTTAACACTACAAAGTGTCATGGTTAGCTTATTGCTCTTGTAATTTCTTTCTTTCTTAGGAAATTCCAGTACTGTTTTATGAGTAGGATATAGCAGTCTGATAGACACTGTGATTACACGTTTCATCCCTAGTGGATAGTATCTCATCCCAATGAAATCCAGCTGGTATTTACACACCATTGACATCAGTGCGAAGCTGTCACAGTAGCATATATAGAAAAGACGCAAACTACCTACTAATAAATTCTATTGACATTCACTCTAATTTCAACAAGTTAATCCAGGCTTCCTTTAATTAAGCAAATAGTTAACTTTAAACCTGCAATAGTTCTAGTAATTTCAAGATTAAACTGTCTCATATCTCTTGAAACTCTATCATCAAGTGATCAGAAAGTACTCTTCGGAACTTGTTTCTGAAATTAATCTTCAATTTAATATGCTACAGTATTTTCTGATCACATTTGTGTTAATTTGTCCATTTGAATTTTCAGAATTTTTCAACTGTATCAAATAATTACACTACCAGAAACTTTGAGTCAGAGGATTAGGTAAAAGACCTATTCATGATCTGAAAACAGATCATTCTTTACAATGTTTTTCTCACCTGTGGATGGATTATTTGGGATCACTTCTTGTTCTTTTAAACTTTCAGAAATAACTGCTTCTTTGACTTGTGATCTTTGTCGTCTAGAACGCGATGATTTCTTTGATTGAATTTGTACCACAGGTGTACTATATTCTTCTTCTAAAATTGAAGGTATCATTGTATTAAAACAAGTCTTAAACACATTACAATGGAAATATATTCATGACATGCAAAACGAAAGCAAAAGGTAAAAGAATACAAAACAATTATTTCAATTCAGACCAAAAACCTTGAGAAACTTGCAAAATAAAAAACAAATTAAAAACTTCTAATTTTTTTGGCAATTTTATCAAAACTATCAAGTTATGCAACCTAGTTACCAAAACCATTTCAGGTTTTTGGTTGGTTCCGTGAAAAAGAGGAGGGCAAATCAACAATACTCACTTCCAAATTTGTTAATCTATTGTAGCAAATGATCTTTCAGGAACGTTCTCTTAATTCAAAGAATTAAACATCAGGTCCCTTTCAAGTCACTGTCACATTAAAAGAAAAGAAATGGAGCAAGCAGTTGCAGTACCTTTTCATTGGCCACAATATACTATTGTTATATGATTCCTGAAATTCCCTTGCCTTCTGATTTCCTTGAACTGAAGCTCAGGCAGAGGGTTTGTCATGTGAATACAGATTTCAGTTCTGCCAATTTTCATTTTAACTACTAAAAATTTGGAGTATTGTGTTCTTACAATTTTCCTGAACGTGGTCTCTTAAAAGGGGTAAATTAAAAAAAATTTTATTACAGGAGTGGTTGGTGGTCTGGGAGAAATGTGGACACTTAAAAGGGGTACAATTTATTTACAATTTATGAAATTCAGTGTCCATTTCAAGAAAAATAGGTCAATGAAACGGGTTACCTTTAAGAGAGAGTTCAATGTATATGGTTGATAATAGAAGAAAATTAACATGAAAATCTTCTTTCTATTCGATTCTGTAACTAAAATACATCTTTTTACCTGGAAAAGAAGCAACACTTTCTGTGCTGAGTAGGAGTTCCTCCTCTGAATAATCCATAACCTCTATGCCATGGTGCCGCACACTCTTCCTCTCCTTCCATGATAAAGCTCGACCATCCAGGACAAACTTAAAATTACAGAATAAATAGCAATGAAATTTACAAATTGTTACAAAAACAAAATCTGCAGACACAAGAGTGGTTTTTAAACTAATTTTTCTCGGTGTAGCCGATTGGAATGAACATAGCAATACAAACAACTTGATATAAAAATTACAGAAACTACCATATAGCCATATAAAACAAGCTTTCAATAAGAAATGACATTTTTCATTATAGAAAATGCCTTGCACTCCAAGGATTATTAAAAGTATTGTATCATTGTTATCAGGCATTTTATGTCAATTTTAACCTTTTGGTTATCTGTTGATGCTTCTTGCTCTGAGTTAATATCATTGCCTTCTGAAAATCCTAACCGTTTTATTCTCGCCTCCACTTTGTTACTCTGCAGTGTCCTGCAAGTCTACAGCAACTAAGCACTTACTACTCCTGCTTGTGGCTCATATCCCTGTGGCAGAGCTTAAACACTTTTACAAGTAGGGAGGTTTAGTGGCAGCTAGGTGGTGTTCATACTGTGGCTTTAAGCCCATTCTGGAGCTTTCTCCCCTTGACATGCAGGTAGTCACATTCATACCTCACATTGAGCAGGGAAACGTCTGGGAAGGAATGGGGTATTAAAGGTATTGCATGGTTGTTGGGATAAACCCCACCATGTCACAAAAATAAAACATTCATCCACGTCCAAGATTGGATTCAAACCTGCAGACCCTGCAGCTACCACTATAAAGATTAAGCTATGAGACCTGACTATTCAGAGCAAACATTTCAACCACAAAGTACATGAAACCTACAAACATTAAGTTATTGAAAATGTAATACACAAACACCAAGTTATTGCATTGCCTTCTCCCTCCACTGTGTAACATTTATGTTTAGGGTAAATGGTGTTTTTAGAGCATTACATTGCAAAACATGAGCAAAAATCAATTTCACTTGAGTGAAGGTGTACTCAAAGGGGGCACTGTCGCCCCCTGAAAATTTCAAAAGAGGCCTGACTATAGACCTACACAATAAAATATTTTTTTTCTAAAAATATGAACAATTTCTAATTTTCCCCTTTTTAAGGTGACAATTTTCGAAAATGATACACTGTATTTGGAGAAGAAGCTCTCCAAACCATCTGGCAATCCTGTAAATGATTTAAAATAAAGTCAAGTTTAGTCAAGTAAAGTCAAGTGAAGTCAGTATTTATTAATTGTATCATGAAAATTACATGTATTGTATTCTTCTGTATTATGTTTTATTTATTTCCTTTTAAAAAATTCCACATGTAAATAAAAATGGTTAATGGACAAAGGGGCCAGGAGGGTACAAGAAATGTAGTAGCCCCTTGTTTTACACTGTAAACACCTATGCCCATGAGAGAAAATGGTTTTTCACACTGTTACAATAAGAGATTTCGAGAATAAAAGCTAACAAATTTGTTGAGCAAATATGCAAAATTAGAGAAAGTAAGCTAAAACACACCACGAAATGACATCACAGAATGCCTAAAAATAAAAATGTGTCATATATTTCCCTTCATATGTTACATATGAATTTCTGAACAGTTTCCAGATATTTAAAGGTGTTCGATGTTTGTATGAGAAACAAATAGCTTTATTTTACGAACTCCATTCTTGTACATGAACAAAAATCAAATTGCACTTCCTGCACATGCCAAGCTAATATTTCATAAAGTGCTAAATTATATATCTGAGTACTCTTATGACTCAGTACTAAGGACTAAAGGCAGGGGGGACATTGGTCCAATGAAACCAATTGTCTGTAGGTACTGACATTTAAGGTTCAGTGAGCATCTAAAATCAATAATTACATTATGAAAGACACAGATGCAGAAATACAGTACAAAACTTTTAAATAAATGTACTGTCAAATCTGATAGTGGGAAATATCTGTGCACTGTAAGCAAAATTAATATAAAAGTGCAATAAATTAAATTTTGAGTGAGACTTTTACATGATATTGGCCTCACAAGATTTTGCCAAAACCCATTAAAGAGAGATTTGTATACTGGAGGAATGAGAGTATTACAAATATATGAACAAACAATATGAACATGAAGAATATAAGTATTACATTTCATGAAGAATGTGGATGGTGTCAAATACTGAAATTGTCTATCAGCCAGGAAAGCAATATCAATATGATTACATGAAGATATATGAATATCCAAAGTATTTCAGCATGACATATTATAGAAGCATAATATTTATTTAAACACTTAAAAAGTTGTTATTTGTGAAACTGGCATGCATATAGAAAGGAACATGACACTTTGAATAAAAAAAATATCATTTTTCAATTGTTCAATGAAAACCAACTATCTATTGTCATATACCTTGCAACGAGAAGCATTCACATGGAGATGATGAACAGTGTGTGATCGATGTTTTATGTGGAAGCTCAATGGATTTCCTGCTAAATTCAGCCAACAAAGCAAAGGCAGTTTTCTCACAGGAACTAAGGTGCTGTGGTCTGTTAGACTGTTGCATGACAAGTCCAATTCAACTAGTTGCTTTAACTTGAACAAATCTACAAAATAAAAATAAGTCATTTTCTTTCATTTCTTGCAAAATTTCATTCGGAAGCAGTGGTACTCAATCTATCTTCATTTAATTAATATTTCAGGAATTATTCTATCATCTGAGCTGAAAAGTTGGAAATGACAACTTTGAAAACATTATATTGTATTAATACATTACAGATATTTTTGAATTTCAATAATCTTTGGGAATAATAAACAGAGCTTCCTTTAAGAAAAACATTTCATGACCCATACTTCGCCATGGTTATTAGTTTATGTTAAAATCTCACATACCTCTCTTTCTGAATGACCTTTTTTGCAAATCTAAATCTAAGATTTGAGAACCACTACTACAAAAAAGTAAGTATTTTACAGACCTGATAAATCCGTAAGATAGTTATTTCTAAGAAGAAGTGTTTTCAGCTTGCAAGCACCTTCTTTTCCAAAACTTGGAACTGATTGAAGAAGATTAAAATTGAGGTTTAAATATTTTAAATTTGGTAAAGAATCTTCTACACAAAAATTCTTTAACCTATTATGGCTAAGATCAATAGTTTGAAGAGCTGGTGTGTACATAAAAGAATTGTCAATTGCTCCCAATGCATTATAAGTAAACACAACTTCCACTAGTTCTTCCCACACATCAGCTGCACTATGATCGGCTCCACAATTCACAAGGAGATCTTGCAATTGAAGTAGACCTTGTACACATACAACACATTGTAACTGAGTTCTAACTTGCTCAATACCAGTAACATTTCTTACAGGAATTTTTGTCAGCTCTAAAGACTGAAGACTTTTAAATTTGTTGATATCTAAAATAAAATTTCTTACTGATCTTGTAGTGTCTCTGGCAACACTTATGTGTAAAACTTTTTGAATAAAATCATGGAGAAACTGAATGTCATGAAAAATTGATTCTTTTGAATTGTTTGTTTTAGTTACTTGAAAAGATGCATCACTATCTTGTTCTTCTGCCAAGAATTTAAAAGAATCATTCAAGCTTTTCAATAATGTTTCATTCAAAAGCAAGGTTTTGTCTCCCTGAAGAACTTTGTCACCAGTTTTGCGAAGCAATTCTGCTAACATAGAAATGCTCTCCACATCCATTCTTTCATTTTTGTTTTCTAACATAAAAATTTGTACTTTTTTTTTATAAAAAAGATGTATAAATTAAGTAACAATGCCAATCCCTTTAATAATATTTAAATTATATTTGCTGTTGGAGTGTCGTCTCAGAATATTGAAAAATTCAACTAAAACTTAGTCATGAACACAGTTTTAAAACACACATCCTTTGTCACGTCATTATAATAAAAGTTTGCTCTGCGTCAGAAAGTACACTTTCGTGCTAGTGGAAAGCGACAGTCACATTGCTATAAGTTTTCAACAGTAAAATAAAACGTTAGTCAACACAAAATCAACACACGCTGTCATCACAATCTAGTTTCATTCTAATGTGCTTTATGCCCTGTTGCGCTCTGAGAACTGGATCAGCTGACTAACTTTGACAGTTTCTCTTCTTCTTGACGTCAGTCTCGGATAAAGCTAAATTGATGTATGCTCACTATCAACAAACACCGCCGAAGATTACGTTGAATGAAATGCCAATCTTCTACGGATCTGGCTGGCCTTCGGTATTACTGCGATTTGATCGTGCTTGATTGTCAATTGAGTGCAAGTGCCTTCGCCGCCTCCACAGTCTACACTAGCAAAAATGAAAAGGTCCTGCCATACACTAGCGATTCCTGCAGCTATATGGTGTACTAAATGAAAGAGATCGTTGAAGTTGTATTTACTCTCTTTCTGGCGCCATTTTAAAATTAAGCTGCAACTCTGCCCCTTGTTACATATGCGTAACCACATTTCTGCTCCCTAACACACATAAGTTAAATTCTGTTGGTAGCTCGACGGAAACCGTCAGATGATTTGTTGCTAATTTATTGCCAATTGATTGCTACACTTTGGAATTAATTGCCACGTATCTTCGTGGAGAAAACGGATGTGAGCTGGGCGCCAGCACATACACTCATACAAGTTAAATTCGTGTCGTTGCTCGACGAAAACCCTCAGATGATTTATTGCTAATTAACTGCCACAAATTGAAATTGATTGCCACGTATTTTCATCGCGAAAACGGTTATTTGCAATTCAAATTGAACTTGGCGGATGAAGCCAAATCACACCTGTTTACGCCTCAAAAATACGATGCAATTAATTCCAAATTGTGGCAATTAATTAGCAATAAATCATTTGCGGGTTTCCGTCAATCTAAGACCAGAATTTAACTTATGTGTGTGCTGGCTTTACATCAAGCAAGCTCACACCCATTTTCACCTCGAAAATACGTGGCAATTTACTCCAAATTGTTGCAATTACTCGTAATTGACAATTAACTGTAAATATTAACGACGCGACGAGAGAGACAAGTAAAAAATAGTTTTGTAACTTTTGAAAAACAAAAGAATAGAGCAATACGTCTTTTATGCCATCTTATAGAGCACATTTAGCACTATTGCTACCAAGCACATTTAGCACTATTGCATTTTTAATATAGCACATTTTTCACGTGATATAGTGTGAAAACTAAAATTAAAAATGCGCTTAATGAAAGAACTAATATAGAGAACAAATTTTATTTGACGTAAAAACCTCTATCTTCAATTTTGTAGTTTTAAGAAAACGCTGGCAAAATTCAAACTTTTGAAATTTTCGCAACTTCAGAGTTAACAGTAAATATTGGGCCTACTCCACCTTTAGAAGTACATTTTACTCCATTCTTACAATACATTTAAAGAAATAATTTGGAAATAATTTGGAAATAATTTGGTTTTTGAGAAAATTTTGAAAATGTACTAGGGACGTCATGTAAAGCACCCCAACTTTTAAAGAGTGTTTATCAAAATCTCAAAACTTCGACTCGAGCCAGATAAACAAGGGTTTCTTCTATTTGGAAAAAACTCCTAGGCATGGTTTAAGCTCTAGTGGTGTGCACAGACAGACAGGCAGATGGACGGACGGACAAATTGAAAAAAAATTCCTACGGAGAGTGCTATGAGTTGGAATTTTTTTTCAATACTATCACTATCCGTTGGAAAAGTTTAATGAATAAATTCGGAGCAATTTTTGAGAAAATGTCATTTGGACGTTTCTGAAAATGCGGACTTTTGAGCTAGTTTCACAGAAAAACGTAGAGTTTTCGAGAAACTTTATATGACAGTATTTAAAGCACATGTACTCATAAAAACAATAATGTGAACAAATTACCGCTAATATAAATATTAACTACGTGAGAGAAAAGTCAATAAAAATACATATTTGTAATTTTTGAAAAAAAACAAAGTAATAGAGCAGACTGATGTTTAATTCATCTGAAGATACCATTTAAGAACTATCCCTACCAAAAGATTACAGAAAATATTTGGAGCTGTTTTGAAAAATCTTATTTTGTAAATTTTAAATTGCACATATTGCTGCCACTATGCGCGAAAACTACAAAGAATTTTGAACGAAATGTACATGACGAATGCTATATATAATATTGAACACGTGAGAGAAAAACGTCAATAAAAAATACATATTTGTAATTTTGAAAAAACAAAGTAGAGAGCAGACTGGATGTGTTATGTCCCATCTAGAGAGTACATTTAGAACTATTCCTCGCAAAAAGTTACAGAAAAATATTTGGAGCGTTTTAGAAAATCTTTAATTTTGTTAAATTTTTAAAATTGCACATATTGCTTCGCACATTGAGCTGAAACCTACCAAAAATTTTGAACGAAATTGTACATGACCTATATAAAAAGCTCGCTATGGGGAAAAATCTCGATCTTCGAATTTTCAAAAATTCAGAGTTAAACCTAAAAATTGCATACAGATATACTTAGCATGCGATCTTTTTCCATTTGTGGAGATTTCACCTCTTTTAAGATCTTCCAAAGTTCACTTGTTTTTGTTCCACCTCTGTACATTTCTACTTGTTGGCATTTACGCTCCCATGATAGCGGTTTTCTTTTTCGTTGGGTTTTATATTCCTCCCAACTTTCTGCTTTCTTGGTACTCGAGCATTTTTCATACAGTCTCTTCTTCTCCTCTATTTCCCGCTCTAGGTCTTGAGTAATCCCATAGTTGCTCCCTCTCCTTTTCTTATTTAAAGGTATTTCCTAAAGTGCTTCTTTACTGCTTGATGTAGACTACTATGTTCATATATATATATATATATATATATATATATATATATATATATATATATATACTTACTTGATCACTTAAACTTGCAATCTCCATATTTAAATCTTGAAGTTCCTAAATTCTCCCCTGTATTTATTTTCTAAACCTTGATTATTCCTTGTTTCAATATTCATTATCCATTTCCTTTGCCTACTTCGTCTCCGGATACCGTCTGTTTATAATTTATAAAAAATATAAGGAAAGAGTATCTTTGCGCTAATAGCACAGGTGTGAATGTGTACAGTAATTACTGTAAATGCGAAATTTGAAGCTCTTTTCACAGAAATCTTTTGAGTTTTCGATAAACTTTTATTGAAAGTGATTTGAAGATCTTCGACTTACAGATGCAATAATGTATAAAAATGGTTGAAAATGTGCGTATTAAAGGCGATAGAAATATTAGAAACTATACTTTTGGGTAATTTTGGAGAGAAAAAATACAGGAAAATTACATCATCTTAAGCATTAGTACTATCTGCTGGAAAAGTTTGAAGAAAACATTTGGAGTAATTTTTGAGAAAATGGCATTTGATCGTTTCTGAAAATGCCGAAATTTGAGCTCATTTTTGCAGAAAACCTTTGAGTTTCCGAGAAACTTTATATGACACTATTTAAAGCACATGTACTCATAAATACAATAATGTGAACTAATCGCCGCTAAAGTCAATATTAACAACGTTGGATACAAGTCGAAATAAATTCACGAAATATTACACGAAAATTACTAAAATTTTCAAACCAATAATTATGGTCTTAATAAAAGAACTAATTATGGAGAACACATTTTATTTAAGGAAAAATCTCTATCTTCAATTTTGTAGATATAGGAAGTCACCGAAAAAAATCAAAGTTTTGTAACTGTCGAAAATTTAGACTTAATGGTGAAAAGCGGACCAATGCCACATTCATAAGTGTATTTTACTCTATTCTTATCAAGTTGCCGCAGCAGGGCTTGTCAAGCAGAGTAAAAAGGAGATATGAGCTGCCATACGCCTGGGGAGAACAGTCGATGGCACATTCCATACGTACCACTGAGCTAACATACAGCGAGAATCAGGATACATTCATAATCAAAATGCTAAGGACAGAACGCGCGGTTACTTTATCGATACATTTTAGACGTTTCTACATTTTTTTCTTGGGTTTTTCATTTGTATTCTTCCTGCACTTTTACCATTTCTATTTTTTCTCTAGGCCGATTTTGGCGGGAATGGCATGCTCCCCCTCCTGATCCACCTCTGCGATTACATCATAACATATTCTGCTTGAGTTACGCATCTGAATTTGTTTTAATAAAAATTGTAAGTCATTTTTCTTTAGTTTTATGGTATTTTAAAAATATTTTGTTTTTATTGATAATTTTTGGTGATGTTTAAGGTCATTAGAATCCGCCCTGTAGTTATATTTCACTATCCTACGGAAACTATAAAAAATGCCCGACTTTCAGACACGTGTGATCGATAAATTAAGATTATTTTTTATTCAAAATGTTTTGGTCATATGTGTCGTTACAGAGTATGTAGAATGACGCAGGCTAAACACAGGTCAAGCTGCGATACATATTTTATTCGCTTTTATAGTTTGCGCACGCCATAGTGGCACTATCGATCTTCTGCACATGCGCAGATGCTCGAGTGATGCGAAACTTTAACTGCGCATGTGCAGAAGATCGATAGCAGCACCGTTGTGTCTCGATCAAGAGGTGCATTGAACCAGGATGGCAAAAAGTTAAAATACACTAAAATCTAAGCCGGAACTTACACAAGTCGGAAACCTGCTGAACCGAAAAATTTCTCCGGCCCGTGCAGTTAAATGGCTTTTTACATAATATAAAACGGAATCTTCAACGCGGAAACTGTTTTTCATGTCATACAGGAGGTAAAATCCTTTATAAAACGGAATTCCTATGACATAGAACAGATACACGAGATATTCTTAATGAAATGAATGCATCTGCAAGGCTGTTTTAAATTCGCTACCGCAGTGACGCGATTGAGAAGATGTGGCATCCGGACATTGTAGGAGAGTGGCTTCAGCTGACAGCGTAGAATTCGTCCTTGGGTCGCTTGTCTCTCAAGGCGTAGGCCATACGATAATTCTCTCCCTCCCGACTTTGAGCGTGGGAAGGTGTACGGGTATGGTTTCTGTTCCTGAATCTCTCTGTCCACATTGAAAACCATGTCCCATCGACTAGAGACAGACGGATCAAGTGCCAGTGCTTCCTTCCGAACTACTAAAAGACACGTGTTCTGCACATCTCTATACTACATTTTATTTAGAGCTTCATTTGACGAGTCATCAGCTATTACGCTGTTATCAAATCGGGAGCTTTCACGTCACTATGTTGACGTTCCACCTCGCGATTGGATGACACCGTAAGAGATGATTTACCCCGGCGCAGAACCACGGGTGGAGGGAGGAGGGAAATCACCCCCTCCCATTTTTCAGTAACTATTAACTTTAACTTCTCAAGAAAATTTCTCGCATGTACTTTCTCGC